CAAAATATATTAATAACATCTAAACAAGTTTTAAATAAACAAATTATTAAATAATACAATTTTAAATAAAATACAATCATGATAAAAACAATTCAAAGAATAAAATGTTAAAAATAATAAAAAACGATCAACTTTTATTGATTTTTTTTACAAACCATAATTTTAAATAATTTTTCTTTTCAAACCAATATTTACTAAATGAATAAAGTATATACTAATTATTATTTTATCATATTAATAGGACCATATATTTTTTTATAGTTTTCTAAAATGTACATAACTTATGTTACCATCTCATCTTATCTCTTATCATATTTTAAATAAAAATAAATTTTATATCATATATATAAATTTATATTTATTGTATATCAAAATTTTGAGAACATAAATAAAATAAAAAATAACCGAACGAAAGAATAAATTATAATAAGATGAAACAATATGAATAAGAAATAAAAATAGAAGTATATAAAAATAAATCTGTTGTACTTTGTTTTAAAAAGTCACTTAAAAACTTTTTAACACCTAAGAGCCATGTTTCAATATTTTTACAAATACACGTACATATATAAATATTAATTGTACATTAGTTGAAGTCACATGCGAACTTTTATGTGCATGTATTTTGTTAAGATTGATTACAGACTATTTTTCTTTTAATTATTATACAATTTATATTTTTTTAAAAATATTTATCTATTCTAAGTGTAGTGAAGTGGTTGGTATGTCCGCACATGCGTGCCAACCATCTATCCGCTCTTAAAAATAAGTAAAAATGGCAAAAACTATTTCAGTTTAATTTGCAATAAATCAAGATAAATATATACTTAAAATATATTATATATGTATTTGCAAATTCATATTATGTAAGACGCAAAAAACATATTGTAGATTGTGTAAGGAGAAATAAAGCATATTATAGAAATATTTAAAAATTATTATAAAAAGTTAATTATTATTTAACATAACTTTATATTTGTGATTATATATGATTACAAGCATTATAAAAATAAATTTTTTAAAATACATTGGTTTCAGAAAGAAGTTTGTGAAATATTAAAACAATATATATACAAACATACCAATGTTTAAAAAAACTAATCAATATTTAAATATTACAATTAACTATATATTTAAAAAAATTATACCCGCACATATGTGCGGGCAACATCCTAGTGCATTATTAAATGGAGAAGGTTATCAATTATTAAATGAATAATATATACCCAACCAAGGTCTTAGTGTTTTTGGGTTTTAGTCCATCGATACTTTTTTTTGACAAAAGGGTTTTTTTTTGACGATTTGGTCCATAGTTACTTTATTTTCTGTTTTTGGTATAAGTTCATAGATAACCAGTTAAAGACAAACTGAACCAAATTCTGTTCCACATCTAGAAAGGAAAATTGATATGAAGAATCACCCTTTTACAGAAAGGAAACAAAAACTAAGGAGTAAGGACGATGAGAACTAGATTTGTAGCATCTGTAAAACTCGTCAGGAGCCATAAACTTTGAAGCTAGAGCAGTGATTGCGGACAATAGTGTTAATGGAAGTAAAGATTGGTGGAAATTTAGTGATGAATCTGTGAATTTCGTTCGGACCAGATGGAGAAGAGTAGATGTTGCTATGCAATAAGGACACACTTATTTTTGATCTGATCTTTGCAAGTGATGCATGTCATTTAGAGTTACGTCCCAACTTCTCACTGAAGTATTGATCTAACGAAAACCAATCTTCCTCCAGATCGACCAACAGAAAAAGCAATGGAACCCAAAGTGATCCCATTTTTTTGCCAATTAGTTACAAAGAACGCACATATTCATCAAGCTGTAGAAATTAAGCACAGAGAGAAAAGTGAGGGAAGCTATGTTTTGTGACCACCAACGACTTCCTAGTTATGTTTTGTGACCACCAAAGGTGAGGAAGCTATGTTCAGGGCAGAGCCGTGCCAACCTTCACGGCTTCCAGAAGCGAATTTTTAAAAAATGCCCTTATTCAATAATATTTTTTGTGTAAAAATACATATAACACATAATCCACTACATATTATTTGAGAAGTAACATTATTAAAAATAGCTTATTTGTCAACACTATAGCCAAAGTTAGTGTTTTTAATTGATGATATGTAAATGTGACATGTCAAAATTCTTAAAATAAACGAAATATTTTGATTGGTTGAATTAAAATATAGAAATTGTAGAAATAAAACATAAATAAACTAGATAATATTTATAACACTAAAATTAAAAAATTTAAATTAACAAAAAATGTATTATAATTTCAATTGTTTACATATATTCATAATTTCATAAAATATAATTACGAAATTTTTTCAACAATATATATATATATTATAATTTCATATAAAATAAAAAAATAATACTAAATTATCCAATAGAATAATAAAATTTCTATTTATTAATAATACTTGAAGTATGATATATTTTTATTTTGAAAAGTTATTAATTTACAAAATATATTAATAACATCTAAACAAGCTTTAAATAAACAAATTATTAAATTATACAATTTTAAATAAAATACAATCATGATAAAAATAATTTAAAGAATAAAATGTTAAAAATAATAAAAAGCAAGAAACTTTTATTGAATTTTTTTTTAAAAACCGTAATTTTAAATAATTTTTCTTTTCAAACCAATATTTACTAAATGAATAAAGTATATACTAATTATTATTATATAATATTAATAGGACCATATATTTTTCTATAACTTTTATCATCTTTTTGTTGTTGTTTTCTAAAATGTACATAACTTATGTTACCATCTCATCTTATCTCTTATCATATTTTAAATAAAAATAAATTTTATATCATACATATAAATTTATATTCATTGTATATCAAAATTTTGAGAACATAAATAAAATAAAAAATAACCGAACTAAAGAATAAATTATAATAAGATGAAACAATATGAATAAGAAATAAAAATAGAAGTATATAAAAATAAATCTGTTGCACTTTGTTTTAAAAAGTCACTTAAAAACTTTTTAACACCTAAGAGCCATATTTCAATATTTTTACAAATACACGTACATACATAAATATTAATTGTACATTAGTTGAAGTCACATGCGAACTTTTCTGTGCATGTATTTTGTTAAGATTGATTACAGACTATTTTTCTTTTAATTATTATACAATTTATGTTTTTTAAAAAAATATTTATCTATTCTAAGTGTAGTGAAGTGATTGGTATGTACGCACATGCGTGCCAACCATCTATCCGCTCTTAAAAATAAGTAAAAATGGTAAAAACTATTTCAGTTTAATTTGCAATAAATCAAGATAAATACACACTTAAAATATATTATATATGTATTTGCAAATTCATATTATGTAAGACGCAAAAAGTATATTTTAGATTGTGTAAGGAGAAATAAAGCATATTATAGAAATATTTAAAAATTATTATAAAAATTTATTTATTATTTAACATAACTTTTATATTTGTGATTATATATGATTACAAGCATTATAAAAATAAATTTTTTAAAATACATTGGTTTCAGAAAGAAGTTTGTGAAATATTAAAACAATATATATACAAACATACCAATGTTTAAAAAAACTAATCAATATTTAAATATTACAATTAACTATGTATATAAAAAATTATTATTTTTAAACTAAACTAATTTTAAATTTTGAATGTTCTACAGAAGATCACAATAATATTTTATTTTTTTATTATAATTTTGCCAACTGAACTTTGTGAAAACATATGTGCACGTAAATGGAGCACCACCTTTACATAAAATATGAAATATTAGGTAAATGATTTGATCAATGTGATTTTGTTATTATAATTTTGCCTACTGTGAAGTATATAAAAACATATGTGCATATATTCTATATGAATATAGTATTATAATATATATGTAGATATGTGTATATATGAAAAGTCACAGTGGTCTACAATAAAACTATAGTAAATTTTATAGGTATATAATATAATATTATCTATAGTATTATAATATATATATATATATGTATTAAAATCATCACGTTCAAGCCAAAATTTATCTACTATTACCCATGTAGATAAATAATAATATCAGGCCATTCGTAGTGTATATGGCGAATCATTACAGATTTAGTTATTAGTATATTAAATTTTGTTATCTAATTAATTTTTTATTTATAGAAATATCACAAAAATCTTTTTGTCATGTCATCAACTACATGTGTTAGTAAATGCCATATCACAATTATATCATCATTACATATTATTATTTTTATGTCACATTTAATTAAGGTAAATAAATAATTTTAACTAATCAAATTAAAATAAATCAGCATTTTTTGTTAAACTACGTTCTTAATTAATAGGTACAGGATTTATCGACACAAAATGATGCATTTTCGTGAAGTACCATTTTTATCTTTTTAGAAAATAAAGTACTGGATAGACAGCGAGAGAGAGAACCAGAGCGCCATTATCGTAAGAATTTGTGGTTGTTCCTCGAAACCCGATTCTGATTCTCCTTTAGATCCGATTCCATCTCCACCTTCAAGCAATATTCGACTCCCTACTCTCTCTCTTCTTCTTCTTATTACAAAAAAGATTCTCTTTCGATTTGTGTTTGTAGATGAGATTGTGGATAAAACGATCTATCTATTTCTGAAAATCTAACGACTCTGCTCAAACTGGGAAGCTCCTTCCCTCTCTGATTCTTCCCCATTCCTTCTTTTCTTAATCTCTCTTTGCTCTTAGTCTTCCGATTTCATCTGCAATTTGTATTAATCCGAGAGCTATACGGCAGATTCTGGAGGAAAAAAGTTGAGATTTCGCATTCAGAGGTCAATTAAGGTTTGTTTTAAATCACCAAATCGGTGTTTGGTTCTGTTCAATTTACAATCCTGGCGGTGAGTGAAGGCCTGAGATTGAAGATTCCGTCACCGGAAAACACAAGTTTTGATTTTGATTGCGTTGGTGGTCTGGAGTGCCTGATAAGTGTAATCAGGGCCCTTGATATGGGTTCCTGCTTATCATCACCAGGAGGAAGCAGGAGGAGATCGATTCATGTGTCTCCTCGTGTTCCTCCTGGATCACATCACGGTGGTTCCAGGAGGAGGAAGGGTTCCAGGAGGAGATCAAGCTCTTGTAGCTCGTCTTTCGATAACACCGGAGAAGATGAGCCATTTCTTCATAGGATCCCTGGAAGGATGTTCTTGAATGGCTCTACCGATAATGCGTCCCTCTTCTCTCAACAGGGCAAGAAAGGGCCTAATCAGGACGCCATGATTGTCTGGGAGGTGAGTTTTCGATTACACCATTCACCACATTTTCTGTTTACTTGTTCGTCTCTGGTGGATTCCATATAGCTCTCATTGCATGTATCAAGTGGCTGCAGAATAATATTGCTATTTATGAGTTCTTCAATGGTTCTATGTCAATATGTACATTCTCATCAAATTTATCGCTCCAAGGGACATTTGATTCATTTTGTAATTTTCTGTTTTCTTATTCATGTGTGGTTTGTTGGATTCCACATAGCTCTCATTGCATGTATCAAGTGGCTGCAGAATAATATTGCTCTCTGAGAGCTCTTGAAATTTGAAAAGTTATGTTTCAGTATGTGTACACTTTCATCAAATATATTACTCCTAGGAACAATTGATTCACTTTGTAGTTTAGTTTCCATATAGTTCTTATTGATGTAACAAGTGGCTGTTTAATAATCTTCCCTCTCTGAGGCCTTGGAACTTTTTGTTTGTCAGTATGTTTTGCCATCTAGAGCTACATGTTCATCTACAGGAACAATTGATTCATCTTGTAGTTTTAGTTTCCACATAGTTCTTATTTCTGTAACAAGTGGCTGCTGAATTATCTCCCCTCTCTGAAGTCCTGGAAATTTTTTTTTGTCAGTATCTTTTCCATATAGAGCTACATTCTTATCAAATTTAGTACTTCAGGGAACAATTGATTTAGTTGTAGTACTTGACAAGTTCCGTGTCAAACGAATGAGCTGTTTTGGAGTTTCTCTTTTACTTCATTTACTCGCCTGTAGATGTAAAATCTAGTGTTGTTCAGGTGAGCTTCAGCTGGATATGGATTGTGTGTTTTAATGCATTTACATTGTTTTAAAATGTTTCAGAATTTTGGTTCCATGGCGGACACAGTTTTTTGTGGTGTTTTCGATGGCCATGGTCCGTATGGTCACATTGTCGCAAAGAGAGTGAGGGATTTGCTTCCACTGAAGCTAGGCTCTCACTTGGAGTCCTATGTATCCTGCGAGGAGGTTCTTAAAGAGATCAGCCTCAACAATTCTGACAGAAAGATGTCAGATAACCTTGTGCATATATCAGCCAATGGAGAATCCCGAGTCTACAACAAGGATTCCATAAAGGATCAGGATATGGTTCAAACACTATTAGGCTCCATTGTTAAAGCCTACAGATTCATGGACAAGGAACTGAAGATGCAAAAGGATGTTGATTGTTTTTGCAGTGGAACAACTGCAGTAACCATGGTCAAGCAGGTAGTTGGAATAAAAGTTTCTGATGTTTGTTGCATCAAATCTTTTTCATTTGTCTTGATTGTCTGTTTCTTTCTGGGTTTTCGGTAGGGTCAACATCTTGTTGTCGGAAATATTGGGGATTCAAGAGCTGTATTGGGTAGGAGGAATAAAGAGAATAAACTTGTTCCTTTTCAATTAACTGAAGATCTCAAACCAGATGTTCCAGGTTACATTAGCCTCTGAAACCTTTTTGTTTTATTTTGGTACCATCTTAAAGAAGTTATGAAGATTACCATTTACACTAGATATCAATATACATTATAACATAAGGTATCTTTGAGAAGAAAAAATCTTGAACTGTAGTTTTAGCCTCTGCACATTTGAGAAGAAAATCTGATTTATCAACTAAAGATTGAGTTTTTTTTTGTTTGTTCTCAGCGGAAGCAGCAAGGATAAAGAGATGTAGAGGACGAATATTTGCTCTTCGAGATGAACCGGGGGTTTCTCGCCTGTGGCTTCCTAACCATAACTCACCTGGTCTCGCTATGGCTCGTGCTTTTGGAGATTTTTGCCTCAAGGACTTTGGTCTCATCTCTGTGCCTGACGTGACCTACCGACGTCTCACTGAGAAGGATGAGTTTGTTGTCTTGGCAACTGATGGGGTAAGAGAAATCACAATGTTTCTGAAAAACTATCCAAGTTCAATGTCAGATTGCTTTGGACTAGTGAGCTCATTTCTCTAAAGAAACCCAGACTTTGGATAATGAATGTGCAAAACTATTTGGACTAGTGTACCCATTCTATTAAGAAACCTAGACTTTGGATAATGAAGGTGCAAAACTATTTTGGACTAGTGAACTCACTCTCTAAAGAAACCTAGACTTTGGACAATGAATGTGCAAAAACTATTTGGACTAGTGAGCATGACTCTAAAGAAACCTAGACTTTGGATAATGAATGTACAAAACTTTTGGTCTTTTAGAGGTGAAGTCAGTTTCTTTCTTTGAAAACTTTGCCAGATTTGGGATGTATTGACGAATGAAGAGGTTGTGGAGATTGTAGCGAGAGCACCAACACGTTCCTCAGCAGGTCGAGCCTTGGTCGAGGCCGCGGTGCGGAACTGGAGATGGAAGTTCCCGACTTCGAAAGTCGACGACTGTGCTGTAGTTTGCCTCTTCCTTGACTTAGAACCAAACAAATTATCAACTGCTTCTTTCTCAGAGAAGAATCACATCAACAATGGCTTTACTGAACCGGAACCAGACACAGCGTCAACATCATCTCCAGACTCGAGAACCGAATCGCCTAATGGAGTCAACAGGATCGACACACTTGTGAATCTACCTGTATATGTGCCGACCAAAGAGTAGGCTAGAGGCAGGAAGTGAAGGTGTGAGATTAGACTTTGTCTCTCTCTCTCTCTCCCTCTCTCTCTTTCTTTCTCGGTTTTTGTTGAGTCTCTAAAATGTCACTTGTGCTCTAAGTTCCTGTGAAAAGTTACTGTTTGGTTTTCTTCGTTGGGTAAATTATAGTGTTACACGCCAATACTTTTGAGTGTGGCTGTTTGTATATATACTCTGCCAATACTTTGCTACAATCTCTCTCCTCTTTTCTTTGTAAATAAAATTCTGAAGCTGCATTTGGGTTTAACTGAGCAATTTTTGTTTGCTAGAAGAACACACAAAGCCTTTCGAGTCTTTATGATTAACGTTGCTAGAAGAAATTTTATTTACTTTCTAAAATCGAATAAAATGCTTTTTCCTTCCTTTCAGAGTGTTTACTCTGTTTTCTGCATTTGATGCTCCGTTTTTGTGTTTGATGTTCTGTTTTTATCAACGTTTTGGTTGTGATATAATATCCGAAAGAACTAAGTTTTTTTTGTGTTTGATGCTCTGTTTTTGTGTTTAATTCAATATCTTCTTTCGGATACTCTATTCCAAATAGTCAAAAAAGATAACCAAAGAAGATAACCAAAAGAACAAAATATCCGAAAGTTTTACCGAAAAAGCCAAAAACACAGAACCAATAAAGTGAAAGAGATTGGAAATCAAAAGAGGGGATAAAACCTGCAAAAACCAAACCGTAACCCTAACGTGTTGCTTCCGCAATAGCAGAGGCTGCGTCATGTACAAGATTCATCTTGCTCAACACAAACCTGACTCCTTCAATCTCCAACAATCTCATCTTCTCTTCAATCTTCGCCTTCCTCTCCGTCGGAACCAATCTCCATCCTCGTTTCACCGATTTTTCTTCAACACCAAAAATCGCAATGCTTCCTACTAGAAAAGATTTATCAAACCAATCATCTTCACCATTCGTCCTATCTTCTTCTTCATCTTCATCATCATCTTCTTCCTCTTCATCATCATCATCATCTTCCACCTTAGTTCCCCAAATCTCTTTGGACATTTCAAAACATTTACGATCGTGAGGGTTCATGAAAGTCACTACTTCCTTGTTCTCTTTAGCCTCGAATTTGTTTTTCATACAACGTATCTTCTGCATCAGTTGATCATTTGTAAAATCGATGCTCATCGATGACTTAACCGATTCTTCTTCAAACCTAATCTTATCCTATGTTACGAACCAGAGTGAATCATGGAAGAGATGATCGAGAGTTTGTTATGAGAAAATGATTTTACAGTTGACTATCTAAACCAAAGCTATCTAAACCAAAGCTATACAATCTGTTTATATACAGTTGACTATCTAAACCAAAGCTAACCAATCTATACAATCGATTAAATAGAGTTGAACGGCTAAAAGAAACCGATACAACTAAACCACCCTCCAATAGGCCCCCTCAAGATGAGCAGAAGATGTTCTGGAGACTCATCTTGGATTTGAGATGTTCGAATTGATAGGGGAATAACGGTTTGGTTAAGATATCAGCCACCTAATCCTCTGTTTTGACGTGAAGCGTTTTGAGAAGATCCTTATCAAGCTTGTCCCGAACTGTATGGCAGTCAATCTCAATGTGTTTAGTCCGTTCGTGGAACACGGGATTGGTGGCGATATGTATCGCAGCAGTACTGCCAGAGAAGAGAACAAGTACTGCAGAGTTGACGGTAAGATCTTTCAACAAAGTATTCAACCACATCAACTCACAAGAAGCAAGAGCCAAAGCTCGATACTCCGCTTCTGCAGAAGACCGAGAAACTGTAGGCTGTTTCTTAGATCGCCAAGAGATCAGAGAAGATCCAAGAAACATACTGAAACCCGTTGTTGAGCGACGACTATCAGTAAAAGAAGCCCAGTCTGCATCAGCAAAACCCTTGAGAGTGAGGTCTTCCTGAGCAGAGTAGAACAAATCCTGACCCACAGTACCTTTAATATACTGCAGCACTCGATAGACCACTTTGAGATGTGAAGTACGCGGAGCAGAAGAGTATTGACAGAGCTTGTTTACTGCAAAAGCAATATCCGATCTGGTAATTGTCAAATACATCAGCCGTCCCACTATCCTCCGATATAGTTCTCTATCATCAATCAGATCACCATCTTCCTTTGACATCTTCAAATTCGGAATCATTGGTGTCGATGATGGCTTACATCCCAACATACCTGTTGAAGATAAGATCTCAAGAGCATATTTGCGCTGGCATATGGAAATACCTGCAGTTGTGCGAGCTATCTCCAATCCCAAAAAATATTTCAAAGGACCAAGGTCGCAGAGTTTAAAATGTCTCTTGAGATCCGCAGTTAAAGTTTCTGCAAGCTGATCGTGTGTACTGGCAATTATAATATCGTCCACGTAAACTAACACAGCCACAAAATCAGATGCAGAGCTCTTGAGAAACAAAGTGTGATCACCATGACCTTTTGTAAATCCCATTGCCAATAGAGAGTCAGAGAACTTACGAAACCATTGCCGTGAAGCCTGTTTAAGACCATAAATGGATTTCTTAAGTCGACATACTGCATTTGGTGGCAACGAGATCCCTTTGCGAGCTGCTTAACCTTCAGGGAGCTTCATGAATATTTCTTCATCCAAATCCCCGTTTAAGAATGCATTGGAAATATCTAGTTTCTTCAGAGTCCACTTCTTAGAGGCTGAAATCTTCAACAACAATCTCACAGTAGCCATCTTTGCAACAGGAGAAAATGTTTCATTGTAATCCAGACCTTCCTTCTGAGTATAACCCTTGGCAACTAGTCTTGCTTTATACCGCTCAAGACTACCATCTGCGTGAAACTTCAAAGTGAATACCCATTTACAACCAACAACTCACTTGCCCGGCGGCAACGTAGTAATATCCCAAGTATTTGTAGATTCTATAGCTCCAATTTCCGTATCCACTGCTCCACACCATTCCTCGGACTTCTGTGCCTCAGAGTATGAAGTGGGAATAGGGATTTTTGTAATGCTATTAATGAAAGCAAGATGAGATGGAGAAATTTTGGAGTATGAAAGAGAAGAAGAAATGGGATGATGAGTGTTGGATTGTAAAGAGTAACAGTGGTAATCTTGTAAGTGATTAGGCATTTTTGTTTGCCTTTTAGAAATTTGTGGTGGAAGAGATGGAGGAGAAGGAGAATGAAAACCTGAAGGCACAGAATCCGTTGGCGCGAAGAAATCCAGAACAGTATCGTCTGAGTTATGACGTCGAGCCAAAGGAAAAATGTCTTCATGAAGCAGCACATTTCGAGATATGTAGATGGCATTGCTCTCCAAATCCATGATCTTATATCCCTTATAGCCATTAGGATACCCCAAGAACACACAAGCTCTAGATCGAGGCTGAAATTTGTGTCTTTGCTTTGGTGAAGTAGAACCATAGCATAAACATCCAAACGTCTTGATCTGACTGTATGTAGGAGGCTTCCCCGTGAGAACTTCAAAAGGAGTCTTGTCCAACAAAACTGCAGAGTGTGTCCTGTTTATCAGAAACTGCAGTCAGTACACAATCTCCCCAGTATTCAATAGGAACCTTTGACTGAAACATAAGAGCCCGAGAGACATTAAGGATGTGTTGATGCTTCCTCTCAACCACTGAGTTTTGTTCTGGGGTTTCAGGGCATGAGTGAAAATATACAATCCCTTTGCTCTTGTAGAATTCAGTAAAACGCAGCTCTGGTGCATTATCGGATCGCACAGATTTGACTTTGATGTTGTATTGATTCTCGACTTGTTGTATAAACGCAGGGAAAACTTGTAAGACTTCATTCTTAGTTCTTAGCAAATAAACCCATGTCGCTCTGGAGTGATCATCAACTATAGTCAGAAAATACTTGTATCCATCAATAGTATCCACTGAAAACGGACCCCAAATGTCAATGTGCAACAGCTCAAAGTTGTTATTACAAACGTTGTTGGATGAAGAATATGACACTTTCTTCTGTTTAGCCAAATGGCAAATGTGACAGAAAGTGGAATCCTTATTCTTGTGTTTAGATGCTCCCAAGACTTCAGAGATAACATCAAGCCGTGAAAACGAGGGATGACCGAGACGCTTGTGCCACATACTGAGATCAGCTATTGCATTGACAGAAATAGATGAACTCGATGTTTCTAGCACGTACAGATTCCCAATCCTTCTACCCTGACCAATCATCAACTCCTTGGTAGTGTCCTGAATAGTGCAAGAAGAAGGATCAAATATCACACGGGTATTAAGATCAATAGTAAGAGAACTGATGCTAAGAAGATTCAATCTGAACTCTGGGATATACAGAACATTCCGAAGAAGAATGTTTTCGTTAATCTGTATCGTCCCCATTCCACTGATCTTGACAACTGATCCAGTTGGCAAATTCACAGAACTAGCAACAGAAGTATCCATCGATACAAAGAGATTCTTGTCATATGAGACATGGTGGGTAGCACCAGAATCAATCACCCAAGCATGATTTTGCAAGTTCTGTTGTGAAACTGTGAGAATGCCAACGAAACAATAAGTGGAGGAAGAGAATGAGATACCCGACGTGTTGGATGACTGAGAGGTACTCGGCTCGCTGTTAGAATGAGGAGTCTGAAGCTGGGAACTGAACAGAGCAATGAAGTTCTGTATCTGATCTTTAGACAAATTACTGATCAGAAAATCCATATTCTGAGAGGATGTATCCGAAACCTGAGCAACAACTTTCTGCTTTGGAGGCTTCTCAGAAGATGGAGGATTCTTGCTTTTCAGAGTAAATCCAGGAGGATAGCCATGTTTCTTGTAGCAACGTTCAGCGATATGACCAACTTTGTTACAAAATGAACAGATGGGACGTCCTTTGTTTGGGCCATTCTGAACGTAGCAAATCTCAGGAGAAGAATCAATAACCTCAGAAACTTGAAAAGCAACCGGAGCATTAGCAACATTAGAGAAACCTTTCTGATTCTCGTCTTGATCCAGCATATTGTAAACTTCAGCAAGCGAGGGTAAAGCCTTCTTCATGATAATCTGTCTACGGATTATAGCATACGACTCATTTAAACCAGCAAGAAACTTGACAATACGAGCTCTCTCCGCCTTCTGTTGCAGACGAGCAGCTTTTCCACAAGTACACGGATCATCAGGCTCTTCAGTACTCTCCAAATTACTCCACAATGTCTTCAGAGTAGTGAAATAATTCGAGAGAGACATGTTATCTTGCCTGAGATCTTGAATTTGTTGAGTCAAGTTAAAAGTCCTTGGCAGATTTGTCATATGGAAACGACCGTACAGATCATTCCAGATATCAGTAGCATCATTCAGGCGAAGAATACTACGATAGATCTGAGAAGTAACC